GTTTTACTTTTGTTTTTGTGAGAAAGAAATGAGAAAGTGCCACTCCTATCTAGTCCTAGAGAGATGTAACCGGAAATAGACTAAACATGATATTTAGTTTCTTACATTCTTATTGTAAACAGACAAGCCTGGTATAAGTTTGTGAAACTTCTTTCAATCTTCTGCGAGTGGAACAGCGCAAAAATTCTATTTCTGAGTTAAGTAGAAGTGAGTGTAAAGATAGACCTAAATGCAGTTCTGAAAATCTTGTTATTCTTTTATAGAATTGTGAGGGTCTTAGCACCCATCTTGCTGATTTCGACGTTCTTTTTTTTTCTCATGCTCATATCTTTAAGTTAACAGGAGTGCGAAAACAACTTTGTAAGCTGCCAGAAATAACTGTTTACCACTAGTACAACCAAGAAGGTGAGAACAGTCTCGGCGCAATTGCTATTTTACTACATAAAAAACTAAAAAAAGTTCAGTCTTGGACGGAGCAGAAAATTTCTGTTAATTGAATTAGAAATTTTAAACCAAAACAACAAGTGTTTGAACCGTCTATACCCCACCAAAAAGTACACCACCGTTTGAACGCTACGGACTCATATATTATATTAAAAAATAAAAAACATTGCTCTAAAACTTCAGACTAATACGCTTTTTACATCCTTTTGAAACCCACATCGAAAAGTCGAACTTATTCATTAACTTTGGAACAGGGCAAGATGTTTCAAGATGAAAGACAAACTTTAGCTGAAGGCAACTCAGATACAGTTATATTTTTTCCCATTTTCGAGTCATGAAAGCGGAATTTTTTCGAAAAACAAATTGAAGAATTTTTCACTTTTTATACAGGCTGTTTTTCAATACTGGAACACTTTTATTTATAACACCCATAATGATTCAGTTTTTGAGATGGTTTCCGTGTTTTTGACAGCTTTAGCAGATCGTTGTAGTGGGTGAGAACATATAAAAACATAGAGATCGCTGTATTTAGTAATGTTGGTGAAAAAGGCCAATAAATGCAAAGGTAAATACAGAAGAACACGTCTTTTGAATCACTACAACGACTTGTAGGTTTAGAAAGATCTATTTATGCAAGAAAAACTTTAATATCAACAGAAACGAAGAAATAAAGCATATGAAGGAAGGAAATAACATATGGTCACGTGTAAAAAAATACACTTCGTTCATATGCCCCTCAGAACTGGAACCGGTCCGGTAATCCGATATCGGAGAGCACCGGACGGGTTGAAAAAGTCACCCAGGCCGGTGTTTCACTAGTTGAAACTTTTGAAACATCTATCTGCTCGTTTTACCATGTTTTTCGTCGAAAAACTAATCTTTCACGTCTTTTTCAGTCAGAATAAATAAGACGATGCTCAAGATAGATATTATTTTCGTCACTTATCTTAAGACATATTACGGACTCGTTATCGTGAAGATTCTCTCACATGTGCTATTTTATTTCGGGGGGAAATCATTTCTGAAAATCGATTTTCCGAAAACTTCGCCAGGTTTTCGCCGGTTTGAGTTATAATTCCAACCGGTCCGGTTATACTTCCAGACCAGCCGGACCAGACCGGTTTACCTTTTCTCAACCGGTGCCAACTCTGATGCCCTTTCCTTCAGAGATTTAACAGCAAGAAATGGAATAGTGAAAGATAATCAGATGCTGTCAATAATCTTGCTGATTACGATGAAAGACATTCCATTCAGCCAGTTCACGATTCGAACAATCTATATAATTTAGCATGTATAGACGCTTATAAAAGAATGAAAAATACTCCAAATATTCCGCTACAAAAGTCGAAATTGATGAAGTTTTAAGAAACAATTTTCTCCGAAAACAATCTTTAAATAATGTAAGCACATCTGCACTTCTTCTAATAAATCTCCCACATGAATATTTAAATGTTACAACAGTCCTCCTCAACAAAATCCGCAGAAAAAGGGTCATTTTTTGAGAGAAGTCAACAGGGAATATGTTTATCTAAGGATGAAGTGTATCTTAGTGGACGTCGTCTTCGACCTATCTCTTTGCTTTCAAACCTTGCGAAGTGGTTTGAAACAGTTATAGTAGAGAGAACTGAAATGTGATGTAATGATAAAGGAATCCACATTGATAAACAATCTGGATTCACAGCAATGCTGCAAAGCAGAATCCTCTCTTTTCTTGAAGATCTCCGACTAATCATGGCAGCATTTAACTATCCAGCTCTAGCAACCTTTGTAGACTTTGAAACCGCTTTTGATTGAATGTGGTACTCTGCTCTGATGAAAACTTTAGAAGAATTAAGTATGCGGCCTTCGTCGATGGATTTTCGTTTGATTACCATATCGGTCGATAACCACAGCCACGGTGATGCAGAGTCTAGAGTATTCACGAGTTTAGTAGAAGTACCACAAGGATCAGTACTTGCTTCGTTATTGTTTCGCTTGCACATTCATTTTTTGCCTTTTTACTTCTCTAAAATCCTGTCCCATTTATATGCCGACGATCTCACTATGGTTTTAAAAGGCGCGTTAGAAAAGCGATTGTGAGACAATATAGTATATTTAGACGAGCAGGTAAAAGTTGTTATGAAAGCACTCGAAAAATTTGCTGATAATCAAACTTTGTCAGTGACCGTGGCGAAAACGAAAGATATGCTTGTGCATAGTGCTGACGCCCCAAAGAAACCACGAATAGAATACATAGATGTTTCAGTCGAATATGCTTCCTTTTTTAAATGTTTAGGGGTAGCGATCAGGACAAAACCGGGTTGGGGCAAGTATATCAATGATACCTTTTAGTCTTTACAGACAAATCGACATGATTTTACACGTCCAATTAGTTTCAGTTTTTCTACATCTTGCTTATGAAGAAAACGGTAGGCGATGGACAACAAGGTGGAAAAAACGATTTTTTTCTTTCTTAGCATCACTCCAGTGGACGTGAACTACCTTCTTGATTGCAACATCGCCATCTAAAATGCACCACAAGACAATGGACTTCTGTAACAGTAGCAAATTTCCTAGTAGACTTGCAGCAAAAGCGTAGCATACGAAGTTGGATGTTCTCACCTTTAGTAATATTCTTTGTAAGCAATGCGGCATTTTTAAAAATCGTCTGCTGTAATTGAATATTTCATGCAATAATATTTTCCCTTTCCTCTTCTTAAAGTACATACGCGATCTTACACTAAACGTGTACGTGAAAAGGTAAAACGAATGTAAAATAAGTAAAATAAAACAAAAACTTGTAGGTTTTCTTTTTTATGAATAGCAACGTATACAACAAAAGACTAGTGTAAGGCGAAAGCCTTCTCCACTTTTGATTCGTATTCTTTATGTTATATACAGAAGCTTTTGCAAAGCTTTATTTTTGCTGTTCATATTTTTGTAAATGTTATGCATGTTTGTGTAGCAAGAAGTCTTCATGTCTCTGTGTACTCTATTTTTATGTCTTACATACTTTAACCAAAGATGCAATTTCTCTCTAATTTGTTATATCCGTTGTTAACCTTAGGGAACAATAAATTTTCTATGTTAAAAGAAAGTATTCAAAGAACCATTTCTCCTCAATTAACTTATGTAGTTCTACATACCTAAATAACAATAATAACTATCATAATATTTTTGGGTTACACAAAGTAAAACAATGCTCGAATTTTTAACAGCTTCAGCCATTGATTTCAATATACATCCATACATGTCAAATACATCCATCCAGACCCGAAATTTTAATTTCTAAAACAGAAAAAGAACGTCAACAGTCGATCAAAAAAATTCGCTTTTTAACCACGAATGAAGTATCACTTTCAAGTTTGTATTAAGAAAATATCAAAAAGTTTTATTTACTGAAAATTATCAACTTTTCTTATAAAATTTGGCTTTTTAAACTTTGAATAGCATATTCTGGTTACAGTATTAGGCTTTGTCGTATTATACAAATATTCAGAAAGCAAAGTCGTGATGATCTACGCTTCAAATTAAATGAAAAAAAAACATGTGACTTCATGAATTTTTCACCTTTTTCTCCCGTTTACAGGATTTAAATATGACAAGACTAAAGTGTTAAAACAATAGCAAGATAGCTCTGCTTTGTGGGAGGACAATGGTTCATACCACATGCCAATTATGATATATCAAAAATAAGCCATTTTAATACTGTTTTTCAAGTAGAAAAACACGCAGAATTGTTAGACAAGCGTTTACCAGACATGATTTTGCAATTAGATTGTCTTTATATATAGATTGGAACAGAGTTATTACCGACTGGAAAAACTAGAATTGCATCGGATTGGCCGATCAGAAATCAGTAAATATCGGCCGATTGAAAAGTTTAATCGGATCGGATCAGTTACCGGTCAGTTGGCCCATCCGCTTACAATTTTGGACTGGAAGCGAATAGTCAAGCAGACACATTTCATGCTGGAATGTGTAACAACCATTTCGCTCATAATATTTTTAATGACAGAACGTGCGTTTGCTTAGACTTAGAAAACATTTGAGCAATTTAGAAAGCAAAGTAATGAGTTTTCTTTCAAACATCGAATCACAAACTTTTTTTGTATATGATATGTTTCCCTTTTCTAACAAAACAGCTTGTATGAGAAGTACGGCACATTAATTTTTTTGACAAATTCAATTATCAAAAAAATTAATATGCTGGACATTTTATAAAATCTGTTTTGCTACAAAACGGAAAAGTATCATTTTTTAATCGGGACATACTTGTATCTGTAAAAGTGGCAGACGTGTATTCTGTGCCCTATCTGTTGAGTAAATAGTGAAAGCGCACTCTAAAAGAATTATCTAATATTATCCGTCTTAGTTTAATGCCGGAATGCATTGGTCTTATTGTAAGACTGATGAAAAAGTTTTTATGTTAAGATGTTACAGGAAGGATAGCCTAACTTATTACCTTTAGCTCATTTCGAATTTCAATACATCTTGATCTGGACATTTCGTTATAACTAATCATAATATGACCTGAAATTAAGAATTCGTGGTATCACACAACATATACCCCGGGACAAAAAGCAGCAAATTCCTGTGTGTGATCACATGCAAAAAAAAGTTGTGGCGGAGTTTCGTGTAAAAATTGAAATTTATGTTTAATTACACATAAAAAGTTAAATAGATAATATAAATTTTATACATCACAGCAAACGACGATATCTGTGCGCCGTCCTCCGGTTGCAGTAGAATCATGCACTTACGCTGTGCCGTTGTATTAACTCCTATTGCATCTAACTGTTGTTGTGGTTCACTGCCGACTGACGATCGTTGTGACTCCACTGACGATCGTTGTGAGTCTACCAGCGCGTCTAAAAAGTGTTTTCAGTCCTGTCTTAGATGAGAAATATGAATAGAACAAAAGAAAGATGATAATGTTTACCTCGGCGTACTTCTTCGGTATTTGATTGTAGCGATGGCGTTGTTGTTAAAGGAAAAGGAGTTGCAGAAACGGAAAACTCTGCGCATACGGTGTTCGACAATAGTCGAGAAGTGCCTTGTACTGAATTGTTTGAAGTTGCCTGCATGACATCAAATTGGGATCTAACTAGTACTATAAAATTGTTATAATGCAGCTTAATCTGAGAAATTTAACAATAGACATAATCAACTCACTTTCTTCTACACATACCGATTCAGAGACTGAACCTACGAAGACAAACATGAATAAAAGTAATCAACTTTCGTGTACATAATTTATAGTATGATATGCTTACCTCCGGCAGATTTTCGTTGTACTGCGGTACGTTCTTCTGTCATCGTTACAGAGTTTTTGTTTGAGGCTATACGAATTAGACAAAACGAGTGAGTGTAACTACCAGAAAGTCCTTGAAAGTAGCAGTATGAAACTTTCTTACAGAAACTAAAGAAATGCACAAGATAATTGTGGATACAAGGAGATAAAAAGAAACACTACTATTTCACTTGTCATATTGATAAGCATCAATCCGCACGTATCTTGATAGTGGAAACAGGTATCTACCAGCTGTTGCTAGGTCATTAAGGAAAATGTTTTTATCTTTTTAATCGTGAGTTTTAAAATTTTTTCCATGGACTATAGTTGTCAGCCAAACTGTTTCGTTAGTAAGTGATATAAGCGAGTTCTAGGCTATCTTTTTAGTCAAACACTGCGACCGCTTAGAAAACGTTGAAACATCGTTAGAGAAGTTTTCCATTAAACTCAGTTATTTCGTTTAGTAGAAAGGCTAAATTATTCGCGGTATATGATCTTGAAGAGAAAAACTATGTCTATAATATTGCCTTATTAGAAAACTTTTAACACGCAATAATTCTGAACACTGGCCCAAGCGAACAGTACTTGTGGGAAAAATCTAAATACATTTCGTCTGTATTCGGGCGATACAAGTGTATTTACCATCGAGATTACTAGTTAGAAAAAGGACTTTTGAACAGATGCATCTGTATGCGCAACTAGCAATAGTTAAATCGATCGATTATCCGACGATAAATCGATAGTTACTACTGAAGAGAAATCTGGTAATCAACCGATTACTCGATTGCCACTATCTTTACCAAATAATATATATCTATATGTGAGAACCTCTCGAATATGAGCACCTCCTTTACTGCGTAGTTTGGGGTCCTACGGGATGATTTTTGCTTGAAATGAATCTTTGTAATCTGAGCATCTCCCTATTCTGTGTGTTAGCGGCTCTTTTTTGGTACATAAGCGAAATAAACTCTCGAATATGCGCATAATATTTAATGAAAATCAAGCGCAGGCTGATAAAAGGATATACGAATGCGCTTTTGCGTTCTATGGGGAATGAGTGCAAATATTGCACATCTAAGTCGAGAAAGGGAGAATAACGAAGCCTCATATGCGTTTGTCTCTCTTTAGTCTTGTACGTGTTTTATTATTCAAAATATCTTTTCCTTCTTCTAGCCTACCTTTTAGCAAAAATATAAGTTAGCAGAAGCTGCATCGAACTCTTCAGAAGCAATGGAAACTATTAGAAGAGTGCATTTGTCTGTAACAACTCAATCACCTGACTTTCTCAAGTTCGATAGTGAGCTTAAATCGAAATTAACTGATATTTATCTTATCTTAACCTACTACGAAGCTTGATAACGTTGTCTTTCGATTCAGCGTCATGTGAAACATCTAGTTCAAATACTCATAAATGCGCTTCTGGTCCCAGGTTTTGTGACATTACAAACTTTTTCATCAATCACCCAAGTTTTTTTATACAACTTACCTTCTTCATTATCAATTGGTTCTGAAAATATTGAACCTTTTAAACATGAAAAACAAAGTATTGTTCCGTGTATTACAACATAAAATATTCTTACGCCATACACCATTACTCACTTTCGGTAGATTCTATTGATCTAGGCAATAGCTGTTCTCCGGAAAAATCATCGTCTGCATCTAAGCCTTCAAAGAAGAAGAAATTATTTGAATTACACAATCCGTTATGTACGCTATTTTCGAAGTGATTTACGACAACAGTCGAAAAAGTATTTCACCTCTTTAACGTCTTATCGACAATTAACTAATTGACAAAGAGTTTAGCAGCTATTCGCTAATAAAAATTTGCAATCTATTTAAACGCAATATAAGCAAATCTAATACTGATTAACTCTCAGCAGTTTCTGATTGTAACATCCCACCCTTCCTCATAATAGAAGGCCATGATACGTTTATAATAGATCGATATAAGATGGTTTCTTCCTCTACGCTCGCACTTATTCTACATTTTTGTCTCTTAGACTTATCAATACAAACCTTCCATTTATTTAGACTTACTTGATACTGCAGAAAATAATAAGGCTTTTTTTATGGCTGGATGTGGGTAAATAAAATAAAACAAAAATACTTAAGTTGTAAACACATTCAGTGTGAATAATTACCATCTGGACAAAGATTGTTCTGTTTTTTTGTACTCTAGAATATGCAAATTATTAATAGTAATGTTACCGATATAAAACATAATAGTTCTACCTGTACAGTAGGTAATGTTTGTAACATTAAAGAATTTCTTACATCTGGAGTTGTAACTTCGGGAGTATTGAACACTAAAGGTAACAAGGATAAGATATTTGTATCAGAAGATAACATTCAAAACATATTACATTCTATGTCGTCGTCGTCGTCCATCTGGTCAACTATTATAAGCGACAAATGTCTATGAATATTATAAATCTATTAACTATTACGTCTGAAAATGAAGACCGTACTGAATAGTGCTTAAAACAAAAAATTAGTTTGTTCCGGAAAACTAAAGCAGACGATGTAACTGATAAAATGTGTGGTCAGTTGTTTTCACTAGAAGCGATAATATCAGCGCCTAGTTATCCATAATATACTTAGTGGTATTTGTTGGTTTGAAAAAGTATGATAATAAGTAATTGAAAAAGGCACTGTTGTCTGAAAAGTTGACAGTACAATGACTCGAAAAATGACCCATACAGAGGACTGAAAACGTTCGCGTTACTTCTTCGGCCGTTATCGACAACGGTGACTAGAAAAATAGTTGCTATTAAAATAACGGTAACTACCAGTTAATTAACTTTAGGGTAACTGTTTCTTTCTCATTATTCAGGATTTCTCATAATTATATTTGGAAAATTAAGTTTATGAAAGCAATCACACACATATCCTAAGCTTATATTGCTTATCACTCTCAATTTGTCAAACAATAGTGCTTCTAGAGTTTTAATGTACTTAAATACGCTTTCTTTTAAGAAATACTTTGATTGTTTTGCGTTTAACGAAAAAGTTTTTAATTGAGGAAGACTCATGGAAACTTTTACTCCATGTTCTTTTTACTTTTAAAGTAAAATACATCAATTTAAATCAATGCATCGTTTCAAGCTAAATTTTTTTCCTCTTTCGCTCGACATAGCCACAAGAAAGAGCACAAAAACGACGAGAAGAATTTCATAGTATATACATTATCCGACGGCATAATTTGTTTTTCTTGCAGAATTCTCGTACGATGGTTTTTTTCTTTTCTTATTTAACATATATACCTATAGAGCAATTACATCAGATTCACTCCCGAATAGCAATCATCCCTACACATATCCGATTTACGTAGTTAACGAGGGAAAGATCAGTGATGCCTTGCAAACCAAATTTGTCCCTATACAAGACAGTGAGGAACCATATCACAATCTCGATATATATCCCGATCGAGCAGCAAACAGCTTTCTCTTCTATTCTTCGCTCCTTTTCAGATCCTACCAAGTTCTGGTCGTCTTTAAATAGATACAGAACATCCAAACAAAATACTCCTCATTTCATTTCTGACAGTGGTGGGATATCTTCTTCTTCTCTTGAGACCTGTCAAAAATTTAATAAATTTTTTGCCTCGTGTTATACTAATTACAACGGACCACTGCCACCTC